GTTTGCCATTATATTGTACCAACTTAGACTACATTCAACATACAAACGTACATATGTACATATGTATGTATAAAGAACTGTGTGCAATATTAACTCAGCACAATTAAATAACACTTAAATACACATTTCAATTTTAAAGCATTCAACAATTGTCATTTACTGCATTCGTTGTGCCAAGTTTGTGGGCAAGTTGCTGCTGGAATTGGTTTGAGGCCGGGTAAGAAGTGTCAAGAGGAATACCAATGCTTGCAGTTCAAGGTTATCAATTTTCAATGAAAGTGTATGTACGTAGGGTAAACAAACGAAACGTCATATAGCGACGTACCGTTTTGTTTATTATCAGGCTTTTCATGCCTGAAAAAAATATATATATTACTTTCTTTTATTGGCAAAAACAACTGTTACGGTGATATACATAAACATGCTGATATAGTGAAATATAATTCACAATAAAGGAAGTAACAAGATTTTTTTTTTAATTTTTCTACTAGATATAATAACTGTGAATTCTAAAATGTGTTTTTATAGTGCTGAATATTTAGACTGTTCTATGATTTAATTTAGAAGAACTAAAATATAAACATTTTACTTGCGTAAAATTAGAGGCAACGGCGGAAATTAACAAGTCCGTATTTAAAAGAGATGTACGATAGTTGGGATTTTAAATTTTATAAACAAATTTAATTTAAAAATATTTCCCTGCATTAATAAAGCTAAGTTTAATTAACTTTTAATTACACACTCATTTAAGCTCAAGTCTTAATTTCAACGTATAATTATGTAGGTAGTTTGGCAATTAGTTACACACCCACCAACACAGATGCTGCTGCTATACATTGCCAATTTGCAAATTCGACATTTCGCAAGCAAAGTTCATTTACCCATCATCACTTAGCTGTTTGATATCCATTTGGCTGGACGGCTGGAGAAATTGCGAGAATATTTTGCAAACAAAAACAAAAATAGTTAATGTGTACATGGATGCATATGAGAAAAAATTAAATTATGTATCTCACAAAGCGGATGTGTATGTATCCATTTTTAACTATTATCCCCAATATCCGACCCGACCACATCGTCCACACTGATGTGCATGGTTACATTAAGGAGAAAACGGTTGAAAACAGAGAACAACAATTAATTCACCAGCCAGTGTTACCGGCGTTTAGCTGTCATTATGATTTCAATGCAACAAAATTATGCAAAAAAAAAAAAATAAATAAATAAAATAAAAAATGCATATAAATAAGCAGCCAAAAACTAACAATCGAAGAAGCAAATAAATAAAGTTTAAATAACAAACTGATAGCGAAATTGTGTGTCATGTGAAGATTTTTATAACCTGATATCTGTCTGGTTTGACTGGCATTTAACTAGCTGCTCTTTACTTAGTATCTGCTGACAGTTTGAATGTAAGAGCTAGAGAGAGATGCATACGTACATACATATGCATGTATGTGTTCATGCATAATCAACAGTAAGCATTGTCAGGGGCAAATGGTGAACAATCGGCGGTCTAAGTGAACAAATACTTTCGAGTGGCCTGTGTGATGTCATTTGAATAACCTGCCACACGGTGAAAATACACATAAAATAAAATAAATTTAAATTAGATTAATGAATATTAAATTCAATATCTATTGTTTTATTTTCATGTGCTAAAAGCGGGTAGGTCAATAGCAAAAGGCAGACCGAAACACGTGAATTTATTTACGAGTAGGTATTTACTAATTATTTTTTTCGAATTTTTGTTCATTTTTCTTTAACATCAATTTCATTTAAATTATAATATCTGTTTTTTACTATTAATTTGCTGTTCCTTTTCTACTTGGTTCGACATGAAAGGCACTAGCACTTTCTCTTTCCGAAATTTTGCAATGCGGTCATTTGTTTTTGTTTAATTCTTTTTTCTCTCTCATTTCTTATTATGTGTTTTTTATTCCATAAACTTGGATTTTATGGCTCTTTAACAAAATAAAACACAAATAAAAGCTGTGACCCCCTTTTCTTAAACTATGCATAACAAATGTACTAATTTGATATTTTGCCGGATAAATATGCAGATAAGTTACTTTTCATATTCATATGCCCTTAATAAATAACGTCGTTTCGGATAATATACTCATATACATATGCATGTGTGGAGATAAAAATCATTCAAAATTCTTAAAATTAAATAAACTTCAAAAGAGCATTAACGACAAATCTGCAAAAACTTGTTTTTTTACCCCTTTTTAGGGCTAACTTTCCGCAAAACAAAACCAACGACAACAGTGAGCACGAGTTGAGTAAACATCAACAACTTCAACCACTTTTTCCATTTTTAGTGAGTGGCAGCGCTATTTACCTTGTGACGTTCAATTCACCACACTATACTGAACATCACTCACTGCACATATTTTTGCGTTTTTGTTTGTGTATTTACTACCTGCATTCTAGTAGCAGAGAACGTAAATATAACGAGAAGGTTCAATTGCGGACCAGCGTGTAAACTGTCAAAAGCTGCCAAGTTACGATGGATGCATTTCACCACAGGCCGCCAGAAACTAACAGAGTTTGCTATTGATGCATAACATTACTGAGCGTAGCAAAATTAAATATGCTCAGAAATTTACTGATGTGTCTGCAACTAACATTGTTTATGTTAGCTTCAGATAACGAAGTTTTCGTATATTTGTTATCAGAATAAACGAAAATATTATTTTCAAATTATTAATATAATTTTTGAAATAGGGGTGAAAGAACAAATTTCAATGAAATATATAGTAATTTTACATCTTTTTCAAAATTCTTTATTATCTAATAATAAATGTACATACAAATGTATGTCCTTATAAAGGAATGATTTCCCGTCGGCATTACGTAATAGCTTTTTTTTATAAGGAGGATTATTTATTCGTGAATTGTAATTTTAACGTATTAATGAGATGTTTGATTAATAATTTTATTAACTTAAAAATCAAAAATTCATTAATTTGTGCATATGTACATATGTGTACACCATACAAAATGCTGACCAGCCTCAAGAAATATATGCATGCATACATATTTACAAGTATTCTTACACGCATATGCAAAACCATACAAACACATTGCTTATGTGAAAACATACTTCCCTCTAAATGCTTCTCTCGCCCAAAAGCTGAAATCAAATACAACAATAACATTTTCATTCATAGACGCCTGCGCCCTACAACAAGGCAAAGTGCGTTCATTCATAAACACCACCGCGCATGCCATACCAACAAGTTGCTTCTTCGCGACAGTGTCAAAAATCACAAACACACAAAATCATTATGGTCGCGAATAGAAAATTCTAGAACATCCTAGAATGTTCGATTTCAATGAATGACGAGTAAACCCCCTTTCCTTCGACTCTTCATCAACAAACAGTTTCCTCAAGTCAAAGTCAAATTTTAGCAAAAATCGAAAAATTGATGTTGAACTCACGCAAAGTGAAAACCCATACATGCAAGCAATTTAATATGTATACGCAAAACGCACACAATCTTAACAATGCTCGAGCCCTTGCTCTTATCCCCCGCCATCCACAAGCGATTTCTTCGCGACGATCACAAAATTTTGCTCGATTTCATATTTTTCGCATTTTGGTGTACGAATTCAGGTACAGTAAACTTTGTATACCACGAATATATCAGTCACTAGTCAACAGCTACAAGAGTGATTCGTATATAACTTCATAGATTTGAAATTTGTATTGAAATCTTTAATTGTCCTAAGTTTATTAACCTTTTTAAATAATATTCCTATATTTTTCATAATTAAAATATGTATTAATTCAATAATCGAGGAAGTTTTAGAAATTAAAGGCGTCATTTGTATATAGTGAATTAATTCCTCATTGATTTCAAGTTTCTTATTAAATTTTACATTTTTTCGAATTTCTAAACATAAATTAAATGAAAAAGTTCATGTTTAAAAATAATGAGACTTTTTTCTAAACATTTGTTTGGCATTCATTTTAAATAAGTTTTGTAATTCTTAACAAAAAGTTCACTCTATCGAGAGTGCGATTTGCTGTTGTCGAAGAAGACACAAATTTGTTCAACTTCCAATTTTTGGCACTTTGGTTTGTGGGCGAGTCGCATGCGGGGAGGTGTGTGCTGTCTGCGCAGCTCGTTTAGTAGACGGTGCGCCAGCGTTCGTCTTGAGAAGGACTTTTTTTGCTATTAAAATAGTGTTGTCATGGTGATGGTATGGTTTTTTTGCTAGATGTGTACGTTTTGCTTCTTCTTAATACACATATGCAAACATATGTACATATATATATATGGATATGTACATATATGAATATGCACGCACGCTCATACGTTTAAATGAATGAATGAATATTGACTTGTTTACTTATTTCGATATTTACTTCAAAAATAATTAATACATGAAAAAATTTAATCAAATATGTTTTATTATGTCTCTTGTATGTATTATCATGACTGACATTAATTTATGTGTTAAAAATTATAAGTAAAAAATTAAAAATGTATAAGTAAATAAAAATAAAATAGTAAATTCCAAAAATGAGTAAACTTGAAAATTAAAATAAGCAAATAAACAGAAATTGAAATCAGAAGTTTCTGATAATACATGTATGCAAGTTTACATTTATCTTCAATAGGTTTTTATCATTTTACATTTATTTTGCATGGAAATTCTCATTATTGTACTCATTCTACTATTTTGAGCACAATTCTGCTAGCTCTCTGTTAAAATGTGGTGAACAGGGCTCATCGAAATCTGGGGTGAAATGCATCCATAGAAAACTGGCGTCGACTGCAAAGCGGAACAAAATGACAATCGGCACGCCCTGAACCTTCTCGTTGTATTTACGTTCTCTGCTAGTAGCTTTAAAATTACTGGAGTAGTCAGCTGCTCTGTGGTGGAATATGCCGATATGGTGAAAAATTGTATTTATAGTAACCCATTAATTCAACTAAGTTTCTGCTAAACTTATAAATAGATAAACAAACACACGAACTTACCTGGTCGGTCAAGCGACTGTCGTCGACTCATTGGCAAATTTTTTGTTTTAAATTTTCTGCAGAAAAATGACGATGATTACAAGCTTAAACTTCGCTGAGTGAATTTCTATTGCAGTGGGGTGTGAATGAACTTTAGCATTTGAACTGATGTTCTGGGATAGTGACGGACTTTCGTTGTTAGGTGTCTAAATTGATTACATACATACATATATATTTAAGATTTAAACATTTCACAATTTTCTCAAATGCACTGTCTGTCCACGAAAAATATCACTATTCGACGGACTAACAAACAAAAATTAGCTATATTTATGATAAACATAAGCAAAAATTAAATAGAAAAGGTGCACGTAAACAGGGAGATGTATACATATATGAATATACATACACAGCAGCAGTGTACGTGCAGCATGCAATGTTGTCGGTAGTACACGACCAGCGCGGCACGGAGGGGCAAGTGTGAAAGATACCACGAGACCGAACCCTATGACTGTTTCTGCCAGACGTTGCGACGGTTCACGGCTTTTGGAAACGGAAGGGTAAAAGCGATATTAGCGGCAGCAATGCTATGGTATAATTTCGTTTCTTCCTCATTTTATTATATTGTACTGCTTGCACCACATTGTAAACACTATTGATAATATTCGCTATCACTTATACTTTTATTTGTACATTTGATATTCACTTTTTTCTAAAATCACGCACATGCAGTTGTTGCATCAATTACACAAAAGGCGGTATGCAACCTTAGTTTCTTTCAAATGCCGTCGTCGTTTTGTAGTCGAAGGCGAACAAAAGAAATTTTGTATTTGTGTGGTGGAAATGTCAAATATAGAAAATTTTGGCAGTCCGTTTAAAGTGAGTGGTGAAATTTGCATTTGCAAGCGACAACAAAAACTTGCAATGTTCACAATGAAAACAAATTTACGTTTATCTATTAGTTTTTTATGTGTTTACACTTTACACTGATATTCGTAAGATTTCCCAATGCATAGATGGTAATGACGGTGATGGCTAGTGCGCATCGTATACTTTCCCCGTCTCTTTTATGCACTTATTTCTATGATAGAGAGAAAAACCAAAGCAAACTGGCGCAAATAGTGTATTTTTCTGCAGTTTTAGTATTTTCTATTGATGAATAATTTCATTTACCGCAAACAATTCCGAACAATCTTATGCGGTACATTTTCAAACACCGTTTATTTTGGGCTTAAGCTAAAGGGTTTAAGATCTTTTGTGGTATTACAAATGATTTAAGATTGATTTTCACCCAGACACACTGAAAGACTATACAGCCATTAGACAAGGAACTGTGGTGGGCACTTTACACTAAACACATTTTTATTGCTTTATTTGTAATTTCTGCCAGGAGTTTTCAACACAACGCCTTTGGTGAGGACTTCTGAAGAGTCTAATACATTTTCCAATTTAAAAATAATATGTTTTCCACAAAAAATTGTCACTTTGCTGAGGAACGTTTTCTAGTCGCCTTTCAACTCCGTGCCGTTGTGGCAGACTTAGTGCTGCCAGATGTTACATTATATAACTCCAACGAGGAGCATGCAAACTATTAGAAGTGTGTATCTTCCAAAAACTACTTAGTAGCACTAAAACTAAAAGTTCTTTACAATAAATTCGAAAAAGTATCATTTTCGTTATTTTCTTTTAAAATCATGGCATTGAATTTATGTGCATTTTGGTTAATCAAAAGTGGCAGCACTTGTTGAGAATGCAGGGTGAAAAGCAGCAAGGTGAAAATGAACAGAGGAAATGTATACAACTGCTGTCTCGTTTCAACGATCACATGAATGTGATTGGCAATAGTGTGTAATGATTTGGAATTTATGTCGAGGAATTCTTGAGGAAAATAATAATTGTTATTATCCAAAAATTATTACATGTAATTAGACTAAATTTAATTAAGTTCTCTGTCGGCTTATGGCCATTTTAATATTGATAAGTCAAAGTTCTTTTTAAACGTTGTATTCCTTTCAATTACATATCCATTGTGAATCGATTTTGTTTTTACTTTGCAGGAATAAACAATTTGATATGCGGCTAACTTCATGGTAAATAATTAGCGTAGGAAAGTGGATAAAAGTTTGTGGCATATAAATAAATAAATAAATATAAGTTTATTTTCAGAACTTGGCAATTTAAATAAGAAGCATAGCGCAACAGCCAATCCGCTGATTACACTTCTATGAATTTAACAAATTGTCTTCGCAATAACCAATCGCAAATTGAAAGGTTGAAAGTTTGAAAGTAGATATTACATTTACAGTCTTTATTGATAAAATAACTATTTTCAGAATTTTTCTAGATGGTAACGAGCTCAATAGTTGACAGTTGTGTTAATGTTCCTTTTACACCGAAACTTTCCTTAACAATCTCGCGAAAATTGAGAAATACAACTTCGCAAAGGATAACCTGAGACCAAGGACGTGATTGAATGAGATTTTGTTAATAAGGCCAAATTATTTGAAAGCAAAACCACCGGACCAAGTTTAAATACTGATGGACACTTCAATACATCCACACTTTCAATCGATCGATCTGTCGACTAATCAAAGCTGAACGCATTGAGTCGCTATGTGTTCAGAAGCGTGATTGAAATTGTCATCCGATGAATCGGCACCAGGGGTATTCGCGGTAATGTTTTTTTTTAGTAGATTTGTGACACCTTCCCGAATGAGTACGGCTAACATCATAGACGATGATTTATAACGTTTCTTTAAAATAACTCCGTAAATCATGCCTGTCGTAAGAGGCGATAAAAATCCAACAACAACAAAAAATTCTGGTCTTTATACCGCAACGACCCGGATACTTATCCGGCCAAGGACTGTCACTCGTAATATTCCACGAAATCCGAATATTTCGAGGTTACTACAAAAACAACAACATGCGATCGAACGTTGAGTTTGAAACCAGCCAACAAAGGAGACTCCTATCGGCCGATAACTCTCCTCTCTTACACTCCATCTGCGTCCAGCAGCGTATCAGCATGGCTTCCGAAAAGTTCACAGTACCACAACAGCACTAAACGCCATAAACACCCAGTTAGTGAATGGCGTTAACCAAAACGGACCCTGCGCGCGAACTGTCCTAGTAGCACTGGACTTGTCAAAAGCTTTTGACACAATCAATCAGTCAGTGCTACTAACGGACATTGAGGAATCCTCATTACCGCCGGTGTTGCAGAGGTGGGTCATGGGCTACCTGAGTGGTCGACAATCATCGGTAATATTCGGAGGTGTAACGTCAAAACCCAGGAAAATTAAACAGGGGGTTCCGCATGGTGATGTCATCTCCCCGCTACTATTTAATTTCTACATCTCTAAACTCCCTCCACCAAAAGAAGGAGTTTCCTTAACCTCTTATGCCGATAATTGTAAGATAATGGCGTCTTGCCAGGATATTGACGACCTCTGCTCGAAAGTGAACGGCTACCTCGCTGATCTCTGCCACTTCTTCACTGCAAGACAGCTAAAAATACAACCGAGTACTGGCTTGAACTAGATGTGAAGGTCGAAAATATTGGTATCAACACTAGACAGCCTGCACTAATTCACTCCGCATACAACCGCAATTGGCGCAAAACTTCAGAGCCGCAACAAAATACTCAAAGCTCTAGCCGGCAGCACCTGAGGTAAAGACAAAGAAACTTTGCTGGCTACTTACAAAGCAATCGGTCGGCCGGTCGTGAACTATGCTCCACCGATCTGGGCGCCGGGGACGAACGAGACGCAGATGAAGAAGCTACAGGCTTGCCAGAACACCACCCTCTGGACCGCGACAGGAAACCTCCTGATGTCGCCGGAGCCTCACTTGCACAGCGAAGCATCTATGCTACGAGTTAAGGAGCATAATGCTTTGCTGTGCAAGCAGTTCCTATTGGAAAGTTAGCGCAGGGAGCACCCCGGTAGGCACATAATAGAAGCTGAACCTCCACCTCAGAAAGGGTGTACTAGACTTAAAGGACACAATCCAGTAATATGTACAACAATCGCTGAGTCAGTCAACACCTTCAAGGACTCCCTAGGAATGGCGTACTCGGAGAAAAACCACCACCCATAGCTTAGGTATGGACAACAAAAACATCGAACGTTGAGTTGCACGAGATGTACGGCGATACGGAAATGAAGAAAAATACCTTTATTCGGTTGGAAGGAGCAGGTAGAGGGTTATCATCAATCAATGGACAAAAGGCGGTTAACCACTGTTTGCGAAGAGAAGAATGTTTTAGGGACATCACATTTTTCCATCAGGTCTCCGGTACGTTATGTGATGATGTGTATTGCCTATATATGTTTCCTAACAGGAAGAAAGTTGCTCCCAACGTAATGACCCCATTTTTTACAACCAATGTGTATTTTAATCTAATGTTGAAACGTAAGAGGCAAAATTAGAATTGATTTAAAAAATTCTTTGTTTAATTTCTTAATTCCTAACGAGGTATATCAGCTCCCTGTGTTGATTGCTCATACTAAACTCCGTTTTTTTTTATCGACATCTTTGCGATATCGGCTCGCCACACAGAGTCACTTGACTTAGTACCCACAATTGAAATAACTTTGATGCACAGATGGGATGAAAAGAAAAGTTACCTAGCCGCTACAACAGCAGCAGTAACAACACGCGTATACCCTTATACGTTTATGTAAAGGCCACATTTGGTAACAAGTCATAATTTTGCTGAGCAATATCCACGACATTTCAAGTTCTTAAGCCCATTCGCCGTACACAGCCAGAACCTTGCAGCGGTGGTTTGTCGAAAAGCTGTTGACAAGCCGCACTTTTGTTTTTTAAAATTCCTTCATGAGCGAAATTTGCATAATCGGCAATTTTCAAATAACAAAAGCGCCAGCAACATAATGCCAAGGTCTCATGTTACACATATGCACATACATACATACATACATACGCACATTTGAAATACAAAGCAAATTATGAGTTGCTACCGGTTTCTCGGTGGTCTCCAATTTCCGCCTATTTTATTTGGCAATGTTTGGTCCTTCGCATTCAACTCCTATCATAATTTCATTGTCACACAATGTACTAGTTCCTGTGGTTTGGGTATTCAACGCTGTAAGTATGTAAGTATGTAAGTATGTATGTGTGCATGAATTTGTTGAATCATATAAGGCACCTCAAAGCAGCAGCCGCTCATGTAGCGTATCGTTAATTGTGATTTTTATGAGTGCCGGTTTGTGCCGACAAAATCAAGTAATAAAAATAAAGGATACCTTGTATGTACCATTGGAATGCATTTAATGAATGTTATGGAATTCGTGTTTGGCAATTTTAACCCCAGGGTGGGGAAAGATGCTTTCTATCAAAAAGCCGATTAACTTCGGCCCAATCTGGTTCCAACGATAAATCTACTGAGTTTCAAGACTTTTCAGGATGCAAGTCTGCTAACTAAAGACATGAAAAGATGAGATGATTTACTGTGCGGGGCATTTTTTTTTAATGAAACGATCTGATCGGAATTTGTTCGAGATTTAGGCTGCTAAGTACGGCTGAAATGCAACGCCGAGTAATGCCTACTCGAAACAGATTGCCCGGATAGAACAGGTTTGCCCCGTAATTAAAGGAATTTATTTGTTGCAGTAGTAGCGGCTACTTTAACCCCGCTTAGGAACAGGTTTAAAATCAATCTAAGTCACCGAGGTCTTCTAACGGGAGATCCAGGAAACGTGCTATTTCGACGGGATCGGACCAGATGGTGGAGGGGTTAGATGTGTCCGCTTAAGGGGGCATGTGAAGAGGTGGTTAGTGTAGAGCGGAGACTGTCCAACTGCTGGGTATGTTGGGGTCGAGTCTGGATAGGTAGGAGTTTAATCTGATACAGTATCCAGTCCTACGCTGTATCAGTGTCACGCGGGTCTCTCGAGGCAGCTCGAGCTCGTTGTCTGCTAGGGTACTCTCAAGACAGCCGGTTCTACGCACCGGAGTTGACCCGTTTAGGTCAACAGGTAAAGAATTTAGTCATATCTTATGAAGAACATGTCACGTATATTCTTGAAACACTACCCACAGAATTAATCACTTCTGCCGCCTGATGCAGGGGCGTGGAAGTTAAAAGACCCCCTTTCAGCACCACAGAACAGAACCGCTAAACAGGAGACTTGCCGACAGATCCTCAACTCTCTTCCCGTGAATGATGACCTCCTTTAGCAGAAGAAGAGCTCGAGATATTTCGCTAGACTAAAGCAATACCGGCATATTTGACGCTTTTTAGACTCACAAAAACGTACTCAAACCTAAAATAACTCTGCTTTTGGCCCGAGCTCGTTGTTGTTTTTTTTTTTGAGCGGCTACCTATCTCCGGTTAGAAGTAGGGGAGAGTTTCCTGAGCCATCGAGGTAATCTATCGAGAGGTCCAGGAATGATGTTGTTTCGAAGGATTCGGACCAGAGAGAAAGGGGTGATTAGGTTTTAGGGGCAAAGACGTCGTTAGTGCCGTGAGGAGTTTCATTGAAGTTGGGATCAAGTCTGGATATGAATGATTAAGTCGAC